CTTTTTGATTCTAATGCATTCGTTTCCTCCTCCTTACTTTGTAACCCTGAAAGTGTATTAAAAGGACAAAAATTAGAAACAACATCATTGTGTTAATTAAAAATATAAAGAAATAAAAAAGTTGATAAAAGTGAAATTATTTTTTTAAAAAAAATCAATTAAGAGTTTGAATTCAAATTGCATTTCTCAAGTTTGTTTTTAAAAAATTATAATAAAATTTAAAATACATATCAAAATAATAGGTCATCTTCCAAATACTTACCCGTACTTCAACAACAGTTGAATTTTGTAATGCGAATAAAATATATTCAATATCATTTGTTAACCTTTTCATCTGTTCAATAAAATAAAATAAATATTAATGAGATGAATAAAAATGTGGCACTATTCATAAAAATCTCTTTTTTTAATTGTTGAATAAACTACAATATATTATATGAGTTTAGGCATATGAGAGAAAATTTAAATAACTACAAAGTTAGTTTAAATTCTACATATTCATTAAAATTTTACTTTACTTATACAAGCAATGAGATAAGAAGGATGTGTTTGAATTTACCTCTATACGTTTATGTTTATACCACCACATTTAAAGACTAAATGTAGAATTCTAATAGAGTTTGAATATTAAAATTGAAATCTTAAATATCCAAGAAGTAACATAAAAGGTAGATAAAAATTAAGGAATAGAATCATTTAAAAATTAAAAAAAAAAAGAAAAAAAACACTCAAACATAAAGAATCCAAATTAAAAGCTAAAAATATAGAATAAATATTCACTTACCCTAGGAAAATTAGCTATTAATGTAATGGAAACCCATCCATGAGACTCTTTAGATGTATATCTCCAATTAAATTTTCCACACTGCAAGATTAATCCTCATTAGATAATGTTTCTAAAATTAAAAATTTATTTGATGATCATTTTATGATATAAACTAAAAAAAACACTAAGAAGTGTATAAAAAATGTAAGTTCTTCAATGTCAGCCACACATTAATTGCAAAGAAGTGTTTAAAATACCTAAAACAGTAATCAACTTGTTTTACTATTTTACTACGTAATTCGAAATCAGCTTGACGAGAGAGGGGACTTGGTTGATATATGATGTTGTTGAATTCCGGAGACATATAATAATGCATGGGAAATCCAGATCCTAATAATCACAAAAAAAAAAAAATTACTATGTAATATGTTCTTAAATTTTCAATTTCAATTTTATGTTCGACTCATTCGACATTTCTTGTTTAGTATGTTATTAAAAGGGGTCGGAGAGTGTAACTAAATGGTCGGAAAGCGTACCTTGATGAGGTGGCGGTGGAAGGATGATATTGTTGGCATAATAAACTCCATATGGACTGAGGAGTGGCATGGGAAGGGGTGCTGCATATTCCCACCCATTGGGATACGAACAAGCATACCAGTCTCGATCTTCAACAAAATAATGGTGAACTTGATAATTGTCGCCGTTGTGATATTGTCTCTGGCCTATGTTGTAGCATTGGTGGTGGCACATGTGTTCTTGAAAAGTTGTTACCAACTTGGTTTGGAAATGGTGATTGAGATACCATTCTGACGTCCTGAAAATATTCGTACCATATAAATATATGAATGTTTCAATTTTAGGATCATTAGAACCATTCTACAAATTTCAAAGACTAAAAGTGTCAATTTTGAAATGGGAAGTTAATTTTGTCCCAAAAAAACCAACTTTCAACCCATGTAAATTAGAAATAAAAAGTAAAAAAATAAATAAACATTTTACCCTAATCTCAGAATTTGTCGATCCATTGTTAAAATGTTGTGATTCCATGGTATGTTTGTAGATTGAAATCAAACCTAGCCAAAAAGATTTGACGTATTAATTAATTTATAAATTTAACAACTCTTCTGTTACATTGGTAAATAAGACACAAACTTTCATTAAAAAAAAAAGAAAAAAAAAAGAAAAAGAGTTTTCATAAATGAGTCCTACAAAAAGAGAAGAAAAATCAAACCTTGAAGCTAGAATGTCACTAAGTTTCGTCGGTAAACTTTGGCAAGAAGGTGGTGCCTTATTTAAAGACAAAAAAGTCCCTTCCCTAAAAGTTGAAGGAGATAGGATTTATTGTTTTGGTTTAGGATATGGAATGAAACTCCTTTTTTCCTTCCAAAACTTTATTTTAATATTTATATCTTAATTTTCTGAAGGGAAAAGGTATTTTAAACTCTTTAACTATTGAATACTTCTTAAAAACGTTTTTTTTTCTTTTCTTAGCTTTTAAAGTTTGGCTATAATTCTTACAAATAATTTTAATATCTATTTTTTCAAAAAAAAAAAAAGGTCAAAACTTCTCATAATTTTTTTGACATATAGCATAACTTTGACTTCTTTTTTCTCCATATTTTTTTGTATTATATTTGAGTTTGATTTTGTCTAATAAATTTCAGACCATTCAATTTGGGAAATTTGAATTTGTAACCCGTTCAATAACTGAAACTGGATAAATGACCTCATTTTCAAAAAACCTAATTTGTGATCCTCCACCCCTTATTTATGATCCCTTAAATATTTTATTCATGGGAAAAGATGAATTTACCCTCATTGTTAATAAATGTGGATTTATGATTTCCACCTAACCATTTCACCAAACTGTAAACTCATATTATACATATGTTTGAACTTGTTAATATTTTACATTATCTAAACTCACAGATCACGTTTTCAAAATCCGCTCAAAGCATCAACGTGTTTGATCTTTGTCCCCACACTATACAAAATCGTTGTCCCCACAATTTCACTTGTGAAAGCTAGGTATGTTACCTTTACACAAACTTTTGTACTCTATAATTGTTGAATTTATTTGAAATATTTTCCCATTAATGGGTTCAACTACTAGATTGAGTTGTTGACAAGAAAAAAAAAATCAGATTGTTGTAATTACTTCAATCCCGGATCTATACCTGGTCCGGGATTGAATGTAAACAATCCCGGTGCATCATGTTTCGGGACTGTCTCGGATATATCTCGGACCTGTCTTGGTTCGAGACATGTCCTGGACTAATCTCGAAGCATATTTAGTCCGGGACATGTCTTGGACCAGTCTTGCTTCGAGATTTGTGCGGGACATGTCTCGGACCAAGACTGGTCCAAGATTCATCCGAGACATTTATTTCTTTTCTTAATTTTTAATATTTTATTTTTGAATGATCAATTTTCCTATCTCACTTAGTTTTATCTATTTGCAGGATGCTTCGTGTTCTCATAACATTCGGTGGAGGTGAAAAAGATTATGTCAGTGGTCGTACGAGGGGATTGACAGTGGATAGTACAATCACGTACAGAAAAATTCTAAGTCATGTGTATAGATTGAGTAACATTAACCCCTACAGTTTGATACTACAATTAGACGCGTGTATCATTTTAAAACCAAAGTTTGTGTGATGGAGATAACTGATGACAATGACTTGCAGTTTTTTTTACTGGTGAGGATGTATCTGAATTGCCTATATATATATATATATATATATATATATATATATACCTATCTATCTAATGTGTCAAAACAGGTACATGGGAATGAAACGTACATGCCTTCTTTCCCATATTATGTAGGCCAAAACGTGTCCTCGATTCCTATGTCCACAGCTTGTATTCCCCCATTCCAGAGACTCACATATCCTATACCCTCATTTCCTTCCTCATCATCGAACCCCTTTTCTTCCCGACAGCCACACCCCTCCTACGGGCATATAGGTGGTGAATCATATGACCCGTTGGCAGAGTCTGAAGAAGGACACTCTCAAGCAGAATATGGGAACGAAAAGCATGACAATGCGCTTGATGATGAGCTTGAGCTTGATGTGGAACAAGTGCACATTGAGATTCGCGGGATGAAGAAGCGGTCCGGCCACCGGGATGTAATGGTCTCACCGGACACCCTAATGATGAGAAATTGCAACTCATAGTACAGTCTTCTAGGACAAATGATGTTAATAAGGGCGATATATTTGATAATAAGAAGAAGTTGAGTTTGAAAATGCATTTAGTTGCAATGCGGAAGAATTTTCAGTTTAAAGTCAAAAAGTCGACGCTGGAGGTATATACACTGCGGTGTGTTCATACTGATTGCACGTGGAGACTTCGAACTACAAAGCTAAAGGAGTACACTTTGTTCAAGATAAAAAAATATTGTTCTGCCCATACGTGCTATGGTGGGACTTTAAAACATGATCATAGGCAAGCCAAAAGTTGGGTGGTTGGACATCTTGTGCAGGAGAAGTTCACAGACGTCTCCCGCACGTATAGACCGAAGGACATTGTACAAGACATGAGGAAGGAGGATGGTGTCAATTTAAGTTATGATAGAGCATGACGTTCTAAGTGAAGAAGCATTCCGACTTATTAGAGGTGATCCAACATCGTCATATGGTCTACTTCAAGCTTATGATGAATCTTTGAAACATGAACCCAGGTACTATTTTCGAATTAGAACTAGAAGGTGGCAAATATTTCAAATATGTATTTATGACATTGGGTCAATCGATTCGAGGTTTTCTGGGTTGTATTATACCAGTGTTGGTTGTTGACGGGGCCCACCTAAAGGGGAAGTTCAGAGGGGTATTGTTATCAGCTTCTGGTGTCGATGCGAATAACCAGATTTACCCGGTAGCATTTGTGATTGTCGACGGTGAGACGGTAGCATCATGGGTGTGGTTTATGACTCAAATAAAACGTGCGCTCGCTGGAGTGGATAATTTGGTTTTCGTTTTTGATAGACATCAAACCATTTCATTGCTTTTGTATACAACATATCAAGGTTAACTTGATAGCAAAATTTAAAGACGATGCGTAGGCAGTTGAGGAACTATTTTTAAAGGCTGCAAAGGCGTATCGCGAGTCATATTTCAACTCGATCTGTGCCCAACTTCGTGCATACCCAAGTGTACAGGAATATCTAGACGATATTAGGAAGGAGTGTTAGGCTCATTGTTTCCAAACTCAATTGAGGTACACACAGATGACTACAAATATCGCAGAGTCTGTAAATGCCCTTTTCAGGCACGTCAGTAAGTTGCCGGTTACCGCCTTACTTGACCACATTAGAGGTAAGTTATAGACTTGGTTCTACGATCGATGGACGCTTGCAGCTTCCCGATCAACCACATTGTCTGATTATGCAGAAAACATGTATGTCGAATATTCGGATAGTGTGCGGAGACACGTTGTAGACAACATTGACCAGTTCCATTTCCAGGTACGGGAAGGCAACCTGACGAGATTGTTGATTTGAATGCTATGACGTGTAGTTGTCGGGAGTTTGATTACTTTAAGATTCCATGCTCTCATGCCATTGTCAGGGCAATGATGCGAAATATAAATCCATACAGTCTGTGCGACGAGGCATATACGACGAACTCCTGGATATTAGCTTATGCAGAACCCATATTTCCAGTCGGACACGTCTCAACATGGAATAGTTCGCCAGAGTTTGTCAACATACCGGTGAAACCACCGAAGACTGTTCCAAGAGTTGGGAGGAGGAAGACGGCTAGGATTCCTTCCACGGGCGAGGTACGACAAACACGTAAGTGTAGTCGCTGTGGTGCGTGGGGACATAATCGCAAAACATGTAGTGAACCCCTTACCATATTGTGAATGTATGCTTCTGTTGTTCATTTACTTTTAAACATGTATGAAGTGAATTTTAAAGAAATTGGTAAGGTAACTTGTATCTCAAGAAACCAACCATGCATGCATGCATTTGCAACTCTATGTGTTCTACTACTATTATTATTATTGTGTGGATTGGATTATATTATTATTGTGTGTTTCATGTATCACTTTGAGAATGAAGTACGAAATAGAAAAGACAATATCAGAATTCCATAAATATTCAAAAAATGGGACGGCGCGCCCACATCTGTACAATGTACTGACGCCTAAAAAATACAATATTATCTTGGGTCAAAGTGTCCAGCTTTGACCCGGTAACATTATACTCGAAGAATCGTACACAGAAAATCCCGCAATCTGTGGCGTTACTCTGTTAGAGTGTGCGAACCCCACGCACCCTCCATGGCACCACTGGCAGGTCTGGTCGTGCTGCAAATATCCCGTCATGATGTAGTACCGCAAGTAGGATCGTACAAATGGGCTTCAGCTCCTTCTTGAGTGAATCCAGTGGAGTGGCCGATTGGAGTGAATCCCATACGGTTAAGTCGCCTTCCACAAGATCAATTCTGAGCATCACCCAGTGGTTCCCACCTACGTTGATCGGGGTGTACATAATGTCTGCATCAGTCCAAGCCACATTCTGGTCCGACTGCCTACTAAAGACATATCGAAATATGGTATTCTCCTGGCTCCAGGGGTATTCGATTATCGTGGACAGGACCCCTGGTTTCATGGCCGCATACAGACCGTCTGTTCGGTTCAGCAGAGTCTGTACAAGAAGTGAAAAATGATATTAGTTACACAAATAATTAAAATAGTTTTTTTTAGTTTAAACGAAGAGCGATAAAAAGTATGTACCAAAAGTAGCACGTCGCCTATCGCAAACTTTTTGCGACACAGATGTAGACACTTCTCCAACTTTTTGGCCGTAAATAGGACGAGAGCATGAACTACCTATTGCATTTAAGAAATGCAAGTTGATATAATCATATTATTGACAAATGTAGTACTAGATAGTGGAATAAGATGTACTTACCTCGTCCTTCAATTGGACAATAGGGTCCAGTAGATCGCGATACTATTCCTTCCCTTGTAAGCCAGCTGCAGTAGACCAAGTTCGTCCATCGGTGTCCGGGTCATCTATCCATGTCTGGAACTGACCGTCCAGCTGCGGAGGAATGGGACAAGCTGAGTCATATGCGTCCATGGTGATCCTATGCCGGCCGGTTGGTGTGTATATACCCTTCAGTTTCCACGAATAATGGCGCTTGCGTAACCCCCGGCCAGTTGGGGCATGCTGAAAGTCAGTTTCGTCCTGGTCAAGGTATGGTTCAACCTAAACCACAATAAACAAGTAAGGTCGAGTAATGACAACTAACAAAATGCATGACATTAAGTTTATCTTAACGATCGCGTTGGGTGTCCAGTCCTTATAGGGACGTCTAACTCGTCGTCTCGTGGGCTGTGTATCTGGCTGAACATCCGGCTCTTGCCTGCCAACGGTGAGATCCTAATACACAAAAAATATTAATCACATTACAATATGGGTAGTAGGAATGTATACTAGCATTACAGAAGGTGGTTACCTGAATTACACCCACTCGAGGTCCATGGTCATCTGCGTGATCCACTTTCGAGCCATCAGGCAGTCTCCCGATTGTAATGTCCTAATATTAAATAACATGATGTAAGACAAGGTCATAAATAATCCAACGAGGAAAATAAGTACGAGTTACCTGATTTGGATCCTCGTCCCCATCCGTTATCATACCATCGTCCTCCTCCGTAATCATTGGATCATCGTCCCTTTTCTTTGAATCCTCGTCCATACTATTCGGACCATGCCCTGACGTCGGTTCCTTTTCAGTCTCCAGGTCTTCATTAGGCCTCTGGTACTCGTCCATACTCTCCCAACCTCCATCTGGCTTCGGGGACTCATCAGTGTTGGGTGTGTTGCCCTAAACTCGTAGTTTGTATTTTGTGTAAAAACAAATGTATATTCAATAAATTTGTTGTTGAATTCATAGCATTGCATTGTTCAAAACCCAATAAACTAAACATCCGAGGTTATTTTAGTGTAACTGGGATAGTATATGTACTGGGTATATATTTGATATACCCCTGATATACGAGGTATATATTTGATATACCCTGATATACAAGTGGATAATGTCCCGTGAATAACCTAAAGAGTCTNGGTATATATTTGATATACCCCTGATATACGAGGTATATATTTGATATACCCTGATATACAAGTGGATAATGTCCCGTGAATAACCTAAAGAGTCTATAGTATATGGATAAGGCTGGGTACCTTATCCTGGCAACACTATGGATACGACCCACTCTGTAAAGGTTACAGACGACTCGATCTAGGTCGTTCGTGTGGAGACATGTGAGTGGGGGTATCCTATACAATGAGTTTGTATAAGACMGGACCACGAAATAGCCAATCTTTAGATGTAACACCGTTAACTAATAGATTGCTGTTTCTTAGGATGACCAGGCAACTCATTCTCAATCCTGAGTGAGTTGTGGACTCCTGCCCGTGAGGGCTCGTCCTTTGATCTGTATGGGTGAGAGTGGCCCGAGTTGTCGACTCAATATTTCTACCATTTTGGGGACGAGACCGAGTGGGGAGCTGAGAACATAACTTCACAAGATGGAATTCACTCATCCCCGACTTTAGGGGAGTAGATGAGTGTTCTCTTAAATGCTGACTCCGAGACTTGAACAAGGGGCGCTACCCTCTCATTGGCCCGAGAGAGACTTTCCGGTTATTGGTCGGTCCATAACCGGGTTGTTCATTAGAGGAGCAGTGGTATTTAAGGAGAAAGATGTAACTCAGGGGTAAAACGGTAATTTGACCCAACTTGAGTTACGAGCACTCGTGAAAGATTGACTCGTCATTAATGGTCGTATATCCATGGACACGAAAACATTCTACAGTGAGAAGAGTGCAACTGCGGGTCTTTAGTGGAGAGACCCGTAGTTAACGAATGTTGATTAACTCGGTCAATGATTTTGACCAATTAATCTCGTATCGTTGGAGCTTCGGATCTGTAGGTCCATTAGGTCCCCTTGCTAGCTCATAATGGGTAAAACGAGGATCAAGTTTTTGGAAGAATTTGAACTGTTCAAATTTCTTAAGGGATTATATGTATATTGATACATTATAATATATAGTTAATTCTAAATTAAAACTATATATTATGAGAGAAATTATTTGAATGAGATTCAAATAAAATTAATATGAATATGATTCATATTAAAACTATAGGTTAAAAATTAATGCACATAATATGTACATTAAATCTATAGGTTATACAAGAGAGAATATGATTTAATTAAATATGAGATATTTAATTAAATGTTAAATAATTAATTGTTAATTATTTAATATTACATTTAATTAATTAATTATTAATATTAATTATTTATTAATTTGATTAATAATTATTTAATATTACATTTAATTAATTATTAATTTGATTAATAATTATTTAATATATTAATTATATTTAATTAATTAATATTAATTATTAACTCCCCTGCATTATTGCAGGGGAGTGGGGAGTTAAGTGACGTGGGGTAACTCCCCACGTCACTGTTTTTCTGGGAAATATTTGCAGAAACAATCTGCAAAACAGAACGAAGGTCACAGAAGAAAAAAAGAGAAGAACTCTCATCTCTCTCAAGCTCTCTCAATACTCCCTCTCATTCCAAACGAGGTGCTCCCACAAGCACGATCTCGAGACCCAAGAGGATAGCGAGGAAGACANATCTCTCTCAAGCTCTCTCAATACTCCCTCTCATTCCAAACGAGGTGCTCCCACAAGCACGATCTCGAGACCCAAGAGGATAGCGAGGAAGACACCGTGGTGGTGTTCGGGTGGAAACCGTTGAAGAAAAGTTCTTCAAAGGTATGATTTTCCTCTGTATTTTCATCTTTGCACATTGTGATTTTGTTTCCCAAATTTCACGAACAACGGTCCGCTTCCGCGCCGAGATTCACATCCCTTAAATCAGGCATTTGATCCGATGGACCATCATCATCGGGCCCACCCCCACCTCCGAAATACTTGCTCGAATCAGGGAATTTACCCTGCACCCAAACATTGGCCCATGAGCATTATTTTAATAATTAAAAACAAATTTGTATACATATTAAATTAGTACCTTCGCCAGTTTCTTCAGGTATCTTTGAATACATTTCAAGGCGACTCCGAAGTTATCCAGTGTGTCCTCGATAGCACCAACAAGGTTATCGAGCCTCTTCAACCGTCTGCTGATCTTCTTTTTGAATTTATTCTTCTTCGACCTCTTCTCTAACCCTTCACCGTCATTTGCACTGGGTCCAACCTCGTCTACCGCATGTGCCTCTACTACCAGATCCTCTAGAGGACTCATTTCCACATCAGCGGGCAGATCAGGTACAGCAGCCTGATCAGGTGAAGCAGCGGATCAAGTACAACACCCGATCAGGTACAGCAGGCAGATGAGGTATAACACGGGCTTCTGGTGTTGTTCCTCAGCATCTGTCGCCAACAAGTGTTCCTTAACATTAGACTGCAAAAAACCTATGATTAGATCGAAATGAAAAAACAAATATGAACCATACGACAACAAGAGAATTACTTACCCGCGTGTTATCGAAAACCTCACTCACCAGCACACGAAACCCGCGCGAATAAGTGCACGACCACCTGAGAAGTCGAGGAATGACGTCATCGCTCAACCTCGTTGCTACTTGCAGGCTCAACGTCGAGATCGTTTCATACGCCCATACCTGGAATCCAGGGAAGGCAAATAAATGATGCAGTT